ACAGCATAAGTTACTTTTTTCAGATAAGGCGTTTGGTCATCTTGACACCATCTGCTACTTTCCTCTTTTTTATCACTATCGATCTCAATTTTGCAGGCTTAAAACTTATTCTCGCCCAAGCAATAAGCTTTTCAAGTTTACGAAGGATCCACCTACTCCCCGTGACCGTAAGAATCAATGAAAAAGACTTACAAACAGAATTGTTCATAACCATGAAGTTTCCGTTAGGGAGCTGTGAAAAGTTTTACCCAGGCTCTTCACAGGTCTCTCTGTCAACGTCAGGATAGTAGTTCCCGATATTGAGAACCTGAAATTATCTGCTACTTTCCCCTTCTTTATCACTAACGATCTCGACTTTACAGTCTTGAAACTCATTCTTGCCCAAGCAATAAGCTTTTCAAGTCTACGAAGGATCCACCTACTCCCCGTGACCGAAGAAGTTGTAATGGTCAGATCGTCCATGTACGCTCTGATCGGTGGCTGACGGACTCCTGTCTTCACCATAGGGCTTAAATATACAGGGTGTCTCAAAATAATGTATACACTCTTAGAATCGTTATAACTTATCAATTTATTTTGACTATAAGATTAATACAAGAGAAAGAATACACATTTAAAGAATTTGAGAGAAAAAGAAAAAAACATAGAAAATTAACTTTAATAAGATAAAAACTACTTGGAGCAATGGCAGAATGTTCATATAATGATGAGTTCACATCAAATGCTCAAATTGATTACCGTTCTGTTCAATACACTTTTCATATCTTGAAGAAATAGACCTACACACGTCCAGTATCATTTCCTCTTGTATTTGAGCACATTCTTCTTCAATTGCTACTCTCGTTTCAGCAATTGTTTCAGGTTTCCTGCTGTAAACTTTGTCTTTTAGAAACCCCCACAAAAAGAAATCCAAGGGTGTCAAATCTGGTGATCTAGGTGGATATATCAATTGTCCCTCTTCTTCCAATCCATCTGTTTTGCATATTTTCATCCATATAAGTTCTCACATCATGGTAATCTATTATTAACTATTAATATTTAAAGAGTGTATACATTATTTTGAGACACCCTTTATATATATTTAATTGCAGTCCTTCATAAACTTCCAATCCTTAGCCATGATTAATTAATGATGAACATATCTTTTTCGTTTATGATCGAATTCCTCACGATTCTTCTGTTAATCTTGGAGAGTAATTATACATTCTTATTGCTCTAAGTAGAGTTCAGTAATGTTATAAAAACCTCGGGAAATTAATTTAACAATTGGGCAATTTTGCTGCTACCCCCGGCATATATATATATATCCGAATGTAATGAGAAGGTAAATAATACATAAATTCTAACGTTCACAGCATTAATTTAAAAAGGGGGATCGATAACGATAGTAGAGCAATAATTATTTATTATGTTTTTTTCATATAGACAAAAACAATTTTGGAAGTTCCTCCTTCATTCCTCCCACCTTTCCTCTTCCACCCCTCACTTTTAGAAGGTTTGGAAATGCTATGCCTAAACCCTTGACCGTTGCTGTCGATTTAAATTTTTCAGGTCGAGCCATCATCTTAAGACCACAACAATCCTTCACCAAACTGCTATCAACAAGAACTATTGTCTCATTCTGTCACGTTTTTCTATCTTTTCTTTATTCTTAGACGATCCCTCTTAAAATATATTTTTTTCTTTTTCTTATTTTCAAACAAATATCAGGTCATCCCATAAGTTCTGTCCGAATTTTGAATAAAGAAAACAAGTGACCAAATGTTACATTTAATTACAGATTCAATCAACAATGTATTTTCCCTGATTATCTATGACTTCCTTCTATCTATTAACAAAAAATACTATCAGGTCATCCCATAAGTTCTGTCCGAATTTTGAATAAAGAAAACAAGTGACCAAATGTTACATTTAATTACAGATTCAATCAACAATGTATTTTCCCTGATTATCTATGACTTCCTTCCATCTATCAGGTCATCCCATAAGTTCTGTCCGAATTTTGAATAAAGAAAACATGTGACCAATGTTACATTTAATTACAGATTCAATCAACAATGTATTTTCCCTGATTATCTATGACTTCTTTCCATCTATTAACAAGCTTACTAATTCCATTCAAGGGCTGCTTCAAGAAGCTTTTCATCAAACTCAACTGGATGTCCGGTTCGATCCTTATCTTCAAGGGTGAAATCTCCACCTCTGAATTTTGCAAACCATCTTCTGCAAGTTCTTTCATTCACAAATTCCTCTCCATAAACTGAGTGAATGTTTCTAGCCGCTTCGGCCGCTGAGTTTCCTTTCTTGAACTCATAAAGCATTATGTGCCTCAAATGATTCTTGGGTACTTCCATGTTAGCAGGGGTTTTATTCAAACACATTTAATTTTATTGTTCCCTGAAATAAAATTTGATCAGTTTAAATGCATCTAAACATAAAAATAATGTTCAGCTCCATTAGACATTATAAAATACTCTTTAAATTTCGTTCATTTTAACAAAAAGTTAAAATTCGGACAGAACTTATGGGATGACCTGATAGAAAAAAGAAAGTGACATTCCAGATGCGACCTGCTTACAAACAGAATTGTTCGTAAGCATTTTGGTTCTTACCAATCGAGGTGCAACTAAATGCACCGAAACGAAGTTGCCTCTTTGTTGGGAGTTAATTTTTGTCTATATGAAAAAATTATAATAAATAATTATTGCTCTACTCTCGGTATTGATCCCTCTTTTAAATTAATGCTGTGAACGTCTTTATTCAATTTCCTCATCTCTTATTGGTTCATACGTGGAAGATGCTGGAAACTTTATGACGCGTATATGTTAATAAACAGAGCATTTATAATGCTAATAAGCTTAATACTGAATATAATTATATATTTCTATTTTCTCAATATCTGTTTTGAAGGACCTCGCAGAGTATCATGATACGCAATTACACCAAAGGGAAATTTAGTCAGTTAAAAACAAAGTTTGTTGTGTAAATTTTCATTATCTCTGTTGCTTGAGTGGCTGTGATATAAATAAAATCTACTTTTCAACAACGGAAATGATAAGGTTGAAAGTGATATGTCGTCCCCTATTGAATATAAAATACCGATAATAATTAGCAAATATAAAATCCCAACAAGTCACGAAGTTCGTTTTTCTTGTCTAAGATTACATGATAAAAATTATTAGTCATACGTTTTTTTAGGCTTATGGTCATATCACGTTCTCATACGATCAACGAAGTTAAACAGCGTCCGGTCTAGTCAGGGTAACCACTTGAGAATACCAGGTGTTGTAAGTTTGGGTGAACTTAAGGCCATATCACGTTGATACAGCAGTTCACATACGATCACCGAAGTTAAGCAACGTACCTAGATGGGTGATTACTTGAGGATACCAGGTACTGTAATCTTGGATGAACGTATGGTATGACTTAAGGTCATATAACGTTGATAAAGCGGTTCACAGACGGCCACCGAAGTTAAGCAACGTACTTACATGGGTAACCATTTGAGGATACTAGATGCGGTAAGATTGGGTATGCGGATAGTGTAATGGGCTTTCAGGCATATCAAGTTGAAGCAGCAGTTCTTGTACAATCACCGAAGTTAAGTAACGTCTATCCTGGTCAGTAATTAGATGGGTGACCACTTAGGGATACAAGTGTCTGTAAGCGTTTATGGTATAATGGCCTCATGTTGAAACACCGGTAAATGGTTAAATAGCAGGACAGACCGGGTTCTATAGCCTTTGATGGCAACAGGTCTACCGCAGAAAGAAATAGCAACCTACTACAGGAAAATATTTGCTTACGTCAGTCATGGATCGAAAGATACATGATCGCCTAAGCGTGTATCACGCATGGCACATAAGTGCCTGAGTTGTGTTAAAAAAGAAATATTTACAATATATTGAAAAGTGTCTATTGCTCTTAGAAATAAATGAACACTTCATCTTTTTATAAGTCAATGGATATGAAATTAAAATATTAATTAAAAGTAAATAGTTGTTGGAAATTTTTCATCTAATATAAAATGAAGAGAAAACTAAATAGGGATTAAAAATTGACGATAACGGTTGAGAATTTTAGATCTAATAAAATATGAACATAAGAGACAATCAGAATTGAAAATGAATAAAAACAGTTAACATTTTCTCATCACCAAAAAGAAGATGAAAGTAAATATTGGTAAACAAAACTTAATAATATCGACTGACAATATTTCTCCTAAAAAAAAGAAAAATGTAAATACTGGTCAAAAGTTAATAATAATAGTTAACAATTCTTCATCGAATCAAATATGAAAATGAAAGTAAATAATAGTCGAAAATGGATAACGATGATCGGTATCATTTCATCGAATAAAAATGAAAATGAAAGTACATACTAGCCGAAAATTAATAATAATGTATAGCAATGATTCATCTAATAAAAAATAAAGATGAAAGTAAATACTAGTCGAAAATTAATCATAGCAATGTTTCTTCTTATCACAAATATAAGTGATATTAAATACGGGTCAAAAATATGTTTCCTCAAATAAGAATAAAGTTTTATACACTCATTTTTCTGTTAGCATTTTTTTTCATTGAAATCTATTTCTTGCTAAATTACATCCTTTGATATGTATAAATCTGATCAAAGTAATTTTTCCAAAAAAGTAAATTCAATAATCTGAACTGATTTTCTCACCACAACCTTTTTCGAACCAATAAACAATTGTTTCGTGGAAGTATTGTATTCGTTCAATTATGTCATTTATTTTTGCGACATCTTTTATTATTTTCTTCAACTTAATTATTTGCCAGAGTTGATTTGAAAGACTTATTTGAAGAATGAGTATTTGCTTATGTTAAACCTCCTGTGAAACAAGATATGCAACACTTAAAATAGCAATATGGTTAAGAATAGACAAAGCTCGCAAAAAAAAATGGCGATATCTGAACACTTAGAAATATTCCAAAGAGCGTCAATAAAAAAAAAAGTGAATAGGTTGGAATGTCGGGATGCTCAGAAAACATTCAGAATTGCTTAACCGCTGGAATAATCGGACATTTTATTCTATGAAAAAATCAAAAATACTCGCGCGCACGCACGCACGCACGCACACATCTCCTCCTACTCCTCCTTCTACTCTTTCTTATTCTTCTTCTCCTTATTCTTCTTCTCCTCTTCCTTCTTCTTCTCCTCCTCCTTCTTCTTCTTGTTCCTCGTCATTATTTCCTTCGCTTTCTTCTTTTTCTCCTTCTTCTTCTTCTTCTTCTTCTTCTTCTTATTATTATTATTATTATTATTATTATTATTATTATTATTATTATTCTGTTCATCTTCTTTCTCCCTCTTATTATTATTTTTCTACTTCTTCGTCTACTTCTTCTTCTTCTTCTTCTTCTACTACTCCTTCTTCTTTTACTCCTTCTTTTACTCATTTTTTTTCTTCTTTTTCTTCTCCTCCTCCTCCTCCTCTTTCTTCTTCTTCTTCTTCATTCTTCTCCTCCTCTTTCTTCTTCTCTCTCCTTATTCATTCTTCTCCCCTTCTCCCTGCTTCTTCTTATTCACATTCTTCTTCTCCACCTCTTTCATCTTCTTCTACTTCTTCTTCTTCTCCTTTTTCTTCTTCTTCCCATTCTTCTTATTTTTCTACTTTTTCTTCTTCTTCTTCTCCTCCTACTTCTTCTTATTATTATAATTATAATTATTATTATTATTATAATTATTATTATTATCATCCTTCTTCTTCTTCTTCTTCTTCTTCTTCTTCTTCTTCTCATCCTCCTCCTTATTTCCATTCCTCCTCCTCCTCCTCCTTCTTCTTCTTCTTCTTCTTCTTCTTCTTCTTCTTCTTCTTCTTCTATGTGGGGTGCCCCTTCCCTCTCCTCAATCCTATTCTGCCACCCTCGCCAGGTAGGTTATGCTTCTTTTCTTCGGTCCTCCTTGTATTCAGTCTTCCCTGTGTGTATTTCCAAGTCGTCTTTCCTCATTATGCGATGTAGAAAATTCAAGAGTCACTTTCTCAACAATCACAATGGAAGATTTAGATAACACAAAGAAAATACATATTTCAACCATTATTAGACACTTTGTTCACATAAATTTTTTCACTTTCTTTTTTTCTTAGTCGGTTTTATTGCAAATTTACTCAGGTCATCAATCTTCGGCTGGAACGATCTCAATCCCAATCGAATTAGCATCCTTTTCCCAATGATCGACAGCCTAAATAAAATTGCGATAAAAAAAAAGCCTAAAAATGACAACGAAATCAAAAACATGTCAGAAATTAATAATAGTATTAATAACGGTAGTTACTAAGGTTTCGTCAAATATGAAACGAAGATGTAACAAATTACAAGTACTAGTAGAAAGGTAAAAACTATGGTTGGTAACACTTAATCTCATGAAAATTAAGCTTAAATAAAATGCTGCTCAAAAATTAATAATAAGAGCCAACAATTCTTTATGTAAAAGAAAATAAAGTTGAAATTATATACGTGTCAACATTTTATTAAAAATTGTGGACAATGGTTCTTGTAATAAAATAATGAAGGTGTAAGTAAATTCTAGTCAAAAATGAATAATAATGGCTGACAATGTTTCATCTAATCAAAAAGAAAGATGAAATTAAATACTAATAAACAATCTATATCTATAATTCTCAAAATATGTATGTGTGTGTGTATGATTGGATGTTGTTTATGCGTTTCCACAGTTTTCATCCGATTTCCATTAAATTTTTTTGGTTTGATAGATATAATTCTACAATGCCGGTTTTGAGTTCAAAAAAATTACAGCCTTGAAGTTGAAAAATCGAGAAAAAACTGATTTTTTTTACATTTTGCACAAAAATCAAAATCAGAATTTAATGTCTGTAAAAAAACAGCGTACAATCAATTTAGAGAGTTGAAATCTAAGGCAAAAGATGATTACAATTATAAAAAAAAAATTTATTATAAATAAAAATTATCGTATTATTTTTAATAACACGGTTTTTCTTCAAGTGAACTATTCAAAACAGAAAGGCCACCTGCTGTTTTTATTTATTTATCAGATATTTTTTATTTCTTACCAGATGATTTTTATTTTTTGCCAGACGATTTTTATTTTGATCTGATGATTTTTACTTTTTACCAGATGATTTGTATTTTTTGCGAGATGATTTTTATTTTTTACCAGACATTTTTTATTTTTTGCCAGATGATTTTTATTTTTTACCAGATGATTTCTATTTTTACCAGATGCTTTTTTTTTTTTTTTTTGCCAGATGATTTTTTATTTTTTACCAGATGATTTTTATTTTTTGCCAGATTATTTTTATTTTTTACCAGATGATTTTCGTTTTTTACGAGATGATTTCTATTTTTTACCAAATGATTTTCGTTTTTTACCAGTTGATTTTTATTTTTTACCAGATGATTTTTCTTTTTTACCAGAGGATTTTTATTTTTTACTAGATGATTTATCTTTTTTGCCAGATGATTTTTGATTTTTTAACAGATGATTTTTATTTTTTACCAGATGATTTTTTTTTGATCAGATGAGGTCAAACTATGGGTAAAGATTTCAGACCGCGTTAGGACAAAAAAAAAAACGAGAAGAAAGGACAAAACCTAAATTGCAAGAAGACGGAATGCATGGTTGCAAGCAAAAGAAACAGCCCAAGATGGACATTACAAATTGCAGGTACCAAAATAAAACAAGTACAACAATTTAACCATCTGGGAAGTTTTTTAACAGGATGCGGAAAGTGTGACACTGAAATCCGAAGGCGTATTGGGAGAGCAAAAGTGCCTCCCAAAAGCTAAGCAAAGTATTAAAGGAGTGGAAAAAATTGTTAGAAACAAAGAAAAGAATACTGAACTTTATGTAATATCAGTCGAACTCTATGGCAGTGAATGCTGGACAATCTCCTGACAGATGAAGAAACTTGAAGCAACAGAAAGAAAGAAAAAAGTACTGAACTGGTATGTGACATCAGTCCCACTCTATGGTAGGTGAATACTGGAAATCTCCACACAGATAAAGAAGAGACTTGAAGCAACTTAAACAAAGAAGAGAGTACTGAAATGTTACGTAATATCAGTCCACCTTTATGGCAGTGAGTGCTGGACAATTTCCTCACAGATGAAGAGACTTGAAGCAACAAAAACAAAGAAAATAGTACTGAAATGTTACGTAATATCAATCCACCTTTATGGCACAGACGAAAAGGAAACTTGAATCAACAGAAAGGTGGTTTTGCAAAAAGATGCGGAGTATACGATGGACCGAACATGTGAGGAACGATTAAATTTTAAAGAAAACAGAAACAAAAAGGAAACTTATACTTAATATCAGGAAGCGACAGTTGACATTTATGGGGGATGTAATGAGGAAGGAGGCTTGGAAAATCTGATACTCACAGGACAGTTTGAAGGCAAGAGGGAATGACAAAAAGAATGTATAACCTATTTGGTGTGCTTGAGCAAATGGATGTCGGAACAGAGTTTAGGAGAGATAACAACAAAAATTATTAAGAGCTACAAAGGGCAGGAAGTTGTGGAGAGCCATGATCGCGTAAATCCAGAATGTAGACGGGAGAAAAAAAGAAGAAAACAATATCCAAAACAATAACAAAATGCGGCGCCACTTCATTTCCAGCAAAGTTCAAAAACAGGAAAATCATTATTGCTCCCCTGCTAAAAGGAGGCGGCGAAGGTTCGAATCATTCCAGAGGAAGCATATTTTTCTTTAATAACCTTTCTTGAATAGCCAGAGCAATAGACGAAAGAGTAAGACTGATTGATAATGTTCTGGTCATTAAGCCAACATATGCACTCCGGCGCCTTCCTTGACAAATTTCATTTTAACATCAAGAAACTGATTAGACAACTGGAAAAGATCAGTATAGAAATAAGCTGCCCGTTGTGAAATAAGTGCCGCACAAAATCTGTGGTATACCAATGCACTATCTCATCCATTGAGAGTCCTAATAATGATAGGATATACATTGGTTCAACGAAGAATGAATTTAAAATTAGATAAAGACAACACAAAAGCTCCTTCAATAATATTAGAAACAGAAATCAGACATCTCTATCCAAATATTTTTGGCATTTAAAAGAAATGTATAAAACATCAAACGTAAAATGGAAAATAATAAATAAAACAAGAACTTGTAAAACTTGGTATGACCCATGCCCTTTATGCCTACATGAAAAACTACACATTATTAAGTTTCTAAATAATGAAAATTTATTAAACCATAGACATGAGTTAACGACATCAACAAATTTTCACATTAAATAATTAGCATAAAAAAATTAAATTTCATAGACTAATAAAAGGTTTAAAAGCTTAACCCAATCACAAGATAGGAAAAACCCTTATGAAGTGGTCAAAAAACAAATTGTAGTTCAGTGCGACGCGTTTAAGTACGAAACAGCCCTTTAGGAAATAAAATAAATAAATAAAAGGATAAATAAATAAATAAATACAATAAAACAAAATTCTCTAGACACTTAACGACATATTATGGTGCCAAAAGTAATCATTCGCTTTGACTGACCAGACGATGTGCGCACATGAATGCCATCATTCGCTTTGAAATGGATACCCCCACCTTATCTCAGCTTGACCTCTTTCCGAAGGTGATTGATATGTGGATAAAAATTATCTCTTAGACCCCTTACCAAAATGGTCACCCCAGCCGTTTCCATAGTAATTAATTTTGCGAATGAACATGCTTATAAAGATGCGTAAATTTCAAGATTGGTTATTCCTAAATTTTCGCTTCAGGATGAAACAGGGCTTGATACTTTAACTCAATTTAATTTTAATAATTATATTGAGGTTTTTGGCTCTCGTTTTTGAAACATGAGAACTCTTATGTTGCGAAGGAATAGTATTTTTAAAAAAATAATGATATATATTTATATATATATAAATGCCTATTATTTATACTTATTTTTATATATGCTTATTTTTGTAGTGATTTTATAACATATTTAAGTTATAATTTTCGAATAAATTATATACAGTGTAACCCGGATATAAGAGACCCTGATATAAGAGAAACCCGGATATAAGAGAGATTTTCTCTGATCCCAAATTAGAGCCTGTGTTAATGTATATAAAATAGACCAAACCCGGATATAAGAGAAACCCGGATATAAGAGAAACCCGGATATAAGACACTTCTTCTCCGGTCCCGACAACTCTCTTATATCCTGGTTACACTATATATATATATATATATATATATTCATTGGCTTATATATATACATATATATTTATAAATGTAAAAGACAATAGGAAAACTATAACGGTATCCGACGCGTTTCGTCCAATTTTGACTTCTTCAAAGCAAAAACGAAATGAATTTATTAAACAAAATAACTAATAATAACAAAACATTATTTTTATTATTATTAATATATTTATTTTATTATTATTAATAAAAATATTATTTTTATTATTATTATTAATAACAAAACTGTCTTTCTACAGGTTAACTCTGAGAAATTTCCATACACACATATATATATATATGTGTGTATGGAAATTTCAGAGTTAACCTGTAGAATAAGACAGTTTTATATATATATATATTGTTAATATATATATATATATATATATATATATATATATATATATATATATATATAGAGAGAGAGAGAGAGAGAGAGAGAGAGACTTCGCAAAAGCGAATTGAGTCACTCTCACTGTGTGTTTTCTAAAATAAATATGCTAAAATTCACCTTCGTCACTGCCGTGCGCCGACGACTTAATGGTAGAATCTTCGACTGACGCCAATTCAGAAGGGGTTCGATCCTAGCTAGAGACAACCGGATGTCTAGCTACACTAATGAGCTGCGAAACAGTCTGTCTGTGGTTGACGTTTTATATCTTCATTGGTTATACGTATTATATATATATATATATATATATATATATATATATATATATATATATATATATATATATATATATATATATATATATATATATATATATATATATTGGGTTATAGATAAAGACTGATACATCTGCCTAAATTGCAACACATTTATACACATGCATATTTAGTATAAAGCAAGGAGTGAGTCCACATGCACCGAAATTCGCATGTACACTGTCAATTTAATATCATTACGTCCCAAGGCGGGGAGATTGCTGGCGATGTGCAAATACTCTTCTGCTTACACGTCAATCAGTAAGCATTCATCCAGCCTGCATCACCCTCTGGTGAACGTCGTTATAACAACTGGTTTAATTGGGTCGTACAATGGGAGAAATTCAGACGTTCTGCGCATTTATTTACCCATCAGCACGATTATTTCGTCCATTTCGGATGTCGTACATTGACATAACTTTTCGATTCAATTTTATATTTGCTCATCGAAATAATACAAGAGAAACGACTTTATCGAAATGGCTCCGCCATATTTTATAGCCATTTCTCTCTAAATGTCGTCTGTATAAATTGTAATTGCAATTTAGATAATGACGATTGTTTCCTGTTTGCTGATGTGATTTAAGAAAAAAGGGGAGATAGTCACGTATTTATCTCTCCACCTCATTATGTTTGTCTCTTATTCTATATATTTGTCTATCTGTGTGTTTGTATCTATGTATCTATTTCAGTTTGTTTATATCTATATATCTATCTCTCATAATATGTTCATATCTATCTCTAATTCTCAATCCCCCTACCTATCTGTCGATCCCAGTATGTTCATATCTATCTATCTATCTATCTATCTATCTATCTATCTATCTCGGACCTTCCATTTCCTATCTATCTATCTATATATCTATCTATCTATATATCTATCTATATATCTATCTATCTATATATCTATATTGTACCTTCCATTTCCTATCTATCTATCTATCTATCTATATCGGATTTCCATTTCCTATCTATCTATCTATCTATCTATCTCGAACCTTCCATTTCATATCTATCTATCTATCTATCTATCTATCTATCTATCTATCTATCTATATCTGACCTTCCATTTCTTATCTATCTATCTATATATCTATCTATATATCTATCTATCTATATATCTATATCGTACCTTCCATTTCCTATCTATCTATCTATCTATCTATCTATATCGGATTTCCATTTCCTATCTATCTATCTATCTATCTATCTATCTATCTATCTATCTATCTATCTCGGACCTTCCATTTCCTATCTATCTATCTATCTATCTATCTATCTATCTATCTATCTCGGACCTTCCATTTCCTATCTATCTATCTATCTATCTATCTATCTATCTATCTATCTATCTATATCGGACCTTCCATTTCTTATCTATCTATCTATATATCTATCTATCTATATATCTATCTATCTATATATCTATCCTCCAACCACCATGTAAATGCAATGTCAATCAATATTCTTATTCTTTTAATGTCCTTTCTCTTTATATATAGTATAGTATATTTTTTCGTATTCTCTAACTCAGTAACAACTAGCGTGTTAGTGGCTTTATTGCCTTGCTTGGTGGAAATGTTTAAAATAAAGACTATTACGTTCATTTTCTTCGGGAAAAATTCTTATTCGCCTATCCGGTATTTTTTGTTCTTTCCTTCCTTTTTTTTTTCAAATATTTCCCTTCGTGCTTCTTTTTAAATTTTAATTTTTTGAGTTTTATACATATATATAAGTGGACTTGGATGTTAAAATGAATCATCAGGCCATGGTCTTACGATTGCATTTAAGCGTGAAAGACTCTGTGTTGGTTTTATATTTACAAACACTCTATTCGTGATATTGAGAACTTTAACTCATAAATATAGCATTCATTAAAACTATATTTTTTACATTTATCACACACACTCGCTTTCGCGATATATATATATATATATATATGTGTGTGTGTATCTTTTGTTCATATCTGTCTGTCTGTTCATATCTATCATTTTATATATATATATATATATATATATATATATATATATATATATATATATATATATATGTTGCTAAATTTCCTAGAATAATTCTGAATATAAAACAATTTGCCGATGCAAGTTTAAAAGCGAAATGTTTTTAGTTTCATTAAATTCAAAATATAAAGGAAACGCTCCTGTGTAATCCTCTTTCTGGATATTAGACAATTTGGATAAAAAGAAGACAACTGGAAAAAAAAAAAATATATATATATGATAAGAAATCACCTGAGGAGGATAGCGTAAGTCTGAAACCAAGGTAGAGGATTCAACTGATCTTCTGATTTTCAAATACATACATATATATATATATATTATATATATATATATATATATATATATATATATATATATATAAGTGCCCAGGTATGCAGAAAATAGAAAAGAACACGTTGGGTGCATAATCCGGAGTTCATTAGTATTTGTGTTTTCATTTTTAAGAAGACAGTGCTCCATATTAAAGTAGAGCTTTATTATAATAATATTTTTTTGCTTAAAAATATTACTCCTTCGCTACATAAGAGTTCTCATGTTTCAAAAACGAGAGCCGAAATCATCCAAATAATTATTAAAATAAGGTTGAATTAAGGTGTTTCGTCTCGTTTCATCTTCAAGCGAAATTTTAGGAATAAGCTATCTTTTGGTTTACGTGTGTTTTTAGGCATGGTCCGTCATAACATTCGTTATTGTGGGAGTGGCCAGGCCATTTTTCTTCGTTAAGGTTGGTTAGGGTATCTATTTCAAGGCTAATGTTGACGGTCATCCTCTAGTTAGTTCCAAGTGAGTCGTTATCTGTCGGGAGGATTTTGTTTTATTATTGTCCATCTGATTATCTATTTATTTATTTGTTTATTCAAGTGGGTGTTTTATATACAAACGGTATTGCACTGAATATCAGTTTTTTTTCTTTTGTTTTTTGACGACTACAGAAAGGGTTTTTCCTATTTAATGATTTGGCTAAACTTGGTATTTAAGCTATGGTATTTATTTTATTTTATTTTTTATTTTTGCTAATTATTTAATGCAAAAGTTTGTTGATGTCGGCAAAAAACCGTTAACTCCTGCCTATGGTTTAATAATTTTTCATTATTTAGAAACTTAATGATGTGTAGTTTTTCGTGTAGGCATAAAGGGCATGGGTCATCCCAGGTTTTACAAGTTCTTGTTTTATTTACTATTTTCCATTTTACATTTGCTGTTTTATTCGTTTCTTTTAGATACACGGACACACATACACACAAACACACACACACACACACACACACACACACACACACACATATATATATATATATATATATATATATATATATCATATTTTCATATCTAACTGGATATCTATCACTGACTGTACATATCTCTCTCTACATTTATCTATATATCATTCTGTTTATATCTACACAACTATACATCTCAATCTTTTGATATCTACATTATTTACATGTGAATGATTGTCCTCATCTTTGTTCTTGTCATCACAACGTTTCGGCCGCTGTACTTACCTATCCTGGATAATCTTATTTAATCTGCGAGAGTCGATTGTTCTTGATTTAATGTCCATCCCTATACCGTCTAAGTTCCATTCTGACAATGTAAACACTGCCCAGCCCAGGGATTGAACTAACACCTACTATATCATCAAATTCACGAATTAAACCTTTAGTCATGTGAGAGAATTGCGAGTGAGCACTTGGAGCCTTAAACCTATCCTGCCTACAAAAGAGTACAGCTACTTGTCACACTTACCGAAGCTTCTATTTCTAATTCAGCTGCTTGAATCTTTCATCATTAACGGTTCCCATATCGTATTTATTACTCTGCAAGGCCGACTAAACAGATCACCAGTCAGAGGTCAGTCTCTCCACTGTTCACCCCCACCGTCCAGTATTTTCACCTTCTTCCACAGAGATTGACGACTACTCTTTTCCCCTCTTGCATGATTTAGCCGTGCCTAAAGACAGAGGCACGTGTGCTGCGGAATTTCATGCCAATGGTTATATTGGCCATTTCTTTAAGAGGGAACATTCGCATTCATTGACCGAGCAGCCAGTACAAAATCTCATTTGAAATTCATAAAATTTTTTTTCCGGCAAATACGTTCCTCGTGTCCAGTAGCTGCTATTACTTTTCCAGTATTGATGCAGATTTCCTTCCTAACCTTTTATTTGAAGTAGTGTGGAATGTCAACATCTTGATTAGATCATTATTTTCTCTTCTCAAGCCCAGTAGCTGTTATCACTCTTTCCAGTAATCATGGGAGTTTCCTTCCTAACCTTTTATTTGAATTAGTGTGGAATGTCAACATCTTGATTAGGTCATTATTTTCTCTTCTCAAGCCCAGTAGCTGTTATCACTCTTTCCTGTATCGATAGAGGTTTCCCACCTAACCTTTAATTTGAAGTACTGTGGAATGTCAACACCTTGATTAGGCCATTATTTTCTCTTCTCAGACCCAGTAACTATTATCACACTTTCCTGTATTGAGGGAGGTTTCCTGCCTAACCTTTTATTTGAAGAGCCGGTGTTTTGACCTAATATGGCTGTAAGCACTTTACACTACCCGCAAGATTACAGAAGCTGGTATTTCCATGCGGTCACCCATCTAGGTACTGATAAACTTGACGTTGCTTAACTTCGATGATCGTACGAGAGCCGGTGTTATGACCTGATATGGCTGTAAGCACTTTACACGACCCGCATATCCAAGATTACAGAAGCTGGTATTTCCATGCGGTCACCCATCTAGGTACTGATAAACTTGACGTTGCTTAACTTCGATGACCATACGAGAGCCGGTGTTTTGACCTGATATGGCTGTAAGCACTTTACACTACCCGCATATCCAAGATTACAGAAGCTGGTATTTCCATGTGGTCACCCATCTAAGTACTGATAAACTTGACGTTGCTTAACATCGATGATCGTACGAGAGCTGGTGTTTTGACCTGATATGGCTGTAAGCACTTTACACTACCCGCATATCCAAGATTACAGAAGCTGGTATTTCCATGAATCTGGTACTGATAAACTTGACGTTGCTTAACTTCGATGATCATACGAGAGCCGGTGTTTTGACCTGATATGGCTGTAAGCACTTTACACTACCCGCATATCCAAGATTACAGAAGCTGGTATTTCCAAGCGATCACCCTTCTAGGCTTGACGTTGCTTAACTTCGGTAATCATCTGAGAACTGGTGATATGGCTGTAAGCCGATTTACCTGTGTTTTGCTTAGTTTACCTACGTACGTGTAAACAGATTGACGTAGATTAATATACATGTCGGTCAATAATTGGCTCAGATGAATGCACCCCCAAGGCTTCATATGTCGGACACCCAGAGAGTTATAAACATATTTATTGTGGCTCGGGACGACTACCCCGAAAGACAAATATGAAAACGTTGATATCAATTGATTGTTTGAATGAATGATTCGTTGATTGATAAGTACAGAATAATACCTTAATTAAACAGCAACACTTAAACAGCCTTGAAAATTGGGGTCGATGTTTGCACTTTACCAGAAATTGACAGATGCAAAGAAAATATCGATTTTTTAGTCGGGCAATTAGGTTTATATTGAATACTTGAGTTAATAAATGAAGTATTTAGCTTCCTACATATAGTGAATTCGTTGTTCTATGCTTTTCTGTGGCACGTAATGAAGAATAGGAAGTGGGGCTTGGAAAATCTGATACTCACAGGGCAGTTTGAGTGGGAAAGCAGCGTATAACATACCTGACGAGCTTGAGCAAATAGCTGGTAAAACGGGGTTTGAGAGAAATAACAAAAAGACAAAAAAGAGCTACAAGGGACATGGCGATAAACTACATCCGCGTCCAGGGTAAGACAATAAACTACGTCCAACACCAAGGTCTCTGATCAAGAGGTTTTGAGGAGCGTGGAACCACCTCTTAATTGCTGGTGTTCCCAGGTCAACCCTGACCCGGGGTGGTAGCACCTGTTACGGTCCCAGCTATGGGCAAATTGTTAACCTCGAAACTGAGGTAAAAAGCATTATGAAAGTGTAAAAATAGGTTTTAATACCAGAAACACTTTGTAAGAAATTATTACCAGAAATAAATTTTTGAAGAAAAAAACAAAACTATTACCAGCAATATATTTTTGAAAAAAAATATTACCAGCAATACATTTTTTAAAATAATATTACCAGCGATACATTTTTGAGAAAAAAATATTACCAGAAATGGATTTTTAACAAAACAAAATATTACCAGGAAAAAAAGTTGTCAGCATTAAATAACCCATTGAGGTTGATATACCGTAAAACAAAACAGACCAAACCAAACAAGGGACATGTAGATGTGAAGGGCCATGGTCGCCTACGTCCTGAAGGGACACAGCACGTAAAAGAAGAAAATATCTAAGGTGAATATGTTGTTCTATGATTTGCTAGTCTATACATAGATTTGAAAATAGGTAGTTATATCCTGAATTTATTTTTCTTCCTAATTATCTCTCCGATTGTCTGGTAAATATCCTAGTATTATTTACAACTAGCTTATTTTCAAGTTTAATCGAAAGAGACGAGGATTATGACTTGCGTGTTATTCTTCTTAGTAGTGTCTAGTTTTGGAGGATTTGCACATTTTCTAAGATCGTTTTCTAGCGCTGAGGACGAAATGATGTGGGTACCGAATAAATCTCAATGTTTTTTCAATATATTTCTCTTCTTCACTTAAGTATTCTGGTCTACATATCCGAAAATCTCTGAGGTAGGATCTTGTGACGAATCCTGATTTTATTTTTTGATTGTTGTGGGAACAGAAATTAATTAGATCGTTTTTTAAACAAACACGTCATACCTAAAAGCTCTGGCTACCTAAGTGCCCTTTGGAAGATTGTATCTGCAACGGATTAAATAATATGAATGTTAGTCACACCACAAACTCGCTTTCACGACGTTTGACACTACGTTTGAATGATAACATTTTTAGACATTTAAAACAACATACCTGGCCGCATACACAATTCCGGAAAATCCTTGTTGAAAATACAACTATACTTAAACATGAAAACAATAAACAAAAACTAAATATTCTTGAAGCTATATACATGAAACAGTTGAAACATAACCTGAAGAAAATAAACTATGAAATGTCCACAAATATTATTAAATGCCTATAATTGATAACAGAAGCCATTGGTTTATACCAACAGCTTCCCATACTTAATACTTCTCGTTTTCATTCTCGCGTAGTTATGTGTGACGTCATGAGCTGCGGTGCGATTTTCGCTTCCAGCGTCTCCTATGCACGAGTTTGTCGTTGCTTGGAAATCTTCCATCTAAACAAAAACAGACTATCATTATTGTTTTGTCCGTGTATTGTTTAAAATATTGTAATGTAATTGTCATCTTTGATAATGGCATATGTAAGCCGAAAGCTTAGACAGGATTAAAATATATGTGTTAATATTGTGATTTTCTTTCTTCGTTTAAATGATAATGTTATTAAGCCTATCAGACGATATGAAAAGAATTTACATAAAATAAATAGACAAAAATTGTCTATATTATTTAATGAAACATGCATCAATGAAAAAATACTGCCTAAATAACCACAATTTATATATGCAGTGTTACATTAGAACATGCACATACCAACTACTACAAAACGTACTGTTTTGAAGTGGGCACGTGCATGTTCTAATGTAACAGTGCATAGTAAATAAATATTTATGGCTCTACTTTTGTGTTGTGCCCGGTTTTAAAGTAATGTTTTAAACGTTACTCTTTGTTCTTTTACATTTGTATGTATATATATATATATATATATATATATATATATATATATATATATATTAGGTAACATATATATGTGCCTGAAAACCATATCACAGGTTGACCCAAGTCTTCTGGGTGAAATTGGGTAGACGGAACTCTTGGAGGCCGTCGATAGATGTGCTAGCATGAAGCCACAAGTCATCGTGGCCGACTGCTTGAGTGTGCTGGCCTTGTTCAAATTGTTGATACCGATAGATAATACGCTCTCTCCCAGAAACTGTAACTAAGGTCTGCACAGCATAGTTGCAGTATAAACCACAGGTGGGCTCTGTGGGTGTTGTGCAAACACAAATGTACCTGAGCGATCGTCTGCAGTAGGAATTGGCTAGCCGCCCTAGTAGAGGGGTATCCTCAAATACAGTGGCATATATATATATATATATATATATATATGTGTGTGTGTGTGTGTGTGTGTGTGTGTGTGTGTGTGTGTGTGTGTGTGTGTGTGTGTGTGTGTGTGTATATAAATAAATAAATATATATATATAATTATTTATATATTACATGCGCGGTATTTAGTAAAAGCGCTCAGTATCAGAGATAGCGCTAACGTATTTGGTTGGATGATGTTAGTTTTGTCCCTGGGTTTTACGCTTTTGCGATCGTCAGAGTTTGTCTGACGATCGCAAAAGCGTGAAACCCAGTGTCACAAACTCACATCAATCCAACCAAATATATATATATATATATATATATATATGCGCCTTTTCCTTTTTACCTTTTCAACTGACTTGAAATGGAGCGACGACATTGAATCAATAGCTGCATCTACTGCAAGGAAAGTTGAGTCACTCTGTCGTGCCAGAAGTTTTTTTTCTCGTCAGAGTCCATCTTGCACATTTACAAACCTATCATTCGTCCGTGCATTGAATACTGTTGCCATATCTCGTCAGCTGCTCCTGCTACACATCCCGAGGTTCTTGACAAAATACGTAGAAGGATTTGCAATGTAATCGATCCCGACTTGTCATCTCGACTTCAGTCACTTTCTCAATGACGTGACGTGGCTTCTCTCTGTCTTTTCTACAAATATTTTCATGACAACTGCTCTGACAAGCTTTTTCCCCCGGTGTCCGGACTATATGAATTTAAACGTGCTACTAAATTGGCATTTAGGTCCCACCCTCTTACTGTTGAAATATTTAACTGTAAGCACCTCTTCTACTATAACAGTTTTTTCTCGCACATCCCACCTGTGGAACACTCTTCCGTTTACATGCTTCCTTGATAGCTACAATGTTCAAAAATTTAAATCTTTTCACTTCTTGAACCCCGTTCATTTTAGTGTTATTTTATTCTTTTTCAATTTCTGTAACCCCCTTGTGCAATAGTGACATTTAAAAAAAAATGAAACTTAATAAGGTTGAAGCTACCATTGAATTCAAACACGGATTTAAAATAAACAAATCTCTACCTTTCCTCGACATCTTATCTATATATATATATATATATATATATATATATATATATATATATATATATATATATATATGTGTGTGTGTATTTAGGCAGCATATCTTTATTCAAACATGTTTCATTGAATAATACAGACATATTGTATCAACTTATTTTTATAATAATCCATTCCAGTCGAGATGTTAAGATGAAATTCGTCAAGGAAAGCACCGTAATTTTTGTTAAGCCAAGTACTTTCGATCTTTTCCAAGATCATCTTCAGGGGTAAATTACAATGACAAACTTATTGTAACTGCAATTCCGTTGTGATGGTGATTTTTAAAAACACGCGCGAACTAGTTTTTATAATTATTTTTAAATTTTAAATTTATCTGTTGTAGCTATGGATTTTTTTTGAAAAACAAGCGTTTCAGTATCTGTCTATATCTCTGCGATGAGGTTTTATGATTACTTATATTATTTGCATTATTCGGACTGTTATCCTCATCTTCATTGCCATATTAATAACAAGGTAAGACTGCAAGGACATCGTGAAGCGGTAACACGGTGGGGAAATAGAAAAATCAGGCATAGCTGACCACATATGGAGGGAAAAGGGAGATCACCGTCCCCTGTGGGATAAGGTTGAAATAATAGACAGAGAATATCACTGGAAAATACAAAAACTTAGGGAATCAGTACATATGCTAGGCTACAAAAATCTCCTGAGCCGACCAAGCATAGAAATGAATACAATATGGAAACCAGTAATAGAGAGTGCCAGAGAAAATAAATGAATAACAATAAAAATTGCAATATAAGCTCCGGTAAAAATATCAGATAATAATAACAGGAAAATTGCAATATAAGCACTGGAAAAAAACGGTGATGAGACATTAGTTTTATAATTCCCAGAAATTCGTACACAGATGACCCAGTGGATAGAGGCGTGGATTAGATCCAGTGACTAGACCCAAAGATTTGTGAGTTCAATACCAGGCTACAGAAGTGGTGAACCAAAATCTTGGAGAGTTGAGAAGCGCCGTAACATTGTAAATATGGCAATGAAGATGAGGATAACAGGCCGAATAGAGCTGAAATGTAAAATGGCATTAAATATTATATGTTGTTGTTATATTCGTAATAAATTGTGTTGGTTTTGGTTGATTTTGATATCGAGTGTCTCGAAGAATTTGAAGTTTTGGTTTATTATTTTCGTGGTGTATTGACATTGTCTCCTGCATTGTGAAAGTGGACAGGAATTTGTTTTGAGATGTTGTGCAAATGAAGTGTAAGACGCCTTGATAATGTTGTAGTTGTCAAGCCAAGATATGTACTTTTCTGTCAGAGATGCAATCTCGCAAAGGACATTTAAACAGATATACAATGTTGGTCTTTTCGAAAACATTAGTTTACGGAGAAGAGTTATTACGTAGTCGGTTTTGTTAAACTTAGTATAATATATAATTAGTTATAGTTTTTACTGGGATCAGTGTGGAACATATTAGTACTTAGATTTCTTTAGATTGTTGCATCTTGTTGGAATACATTTACTTAAATATTTGTATCTATAAAAGTAACGTATAAACAATAAATATATTAAAATAACTGTCGGACTTAAATAAAATTGCTGTTATAAACATTTTAGAACTTTCTTGCTATAATTATAATTGATTTTATTTACTTTTGGTCCTATTTTTTATGTAAAGGGCTTTCAGAATTTGAGGGTTTTGTTTTATTTTTATCATGTTGGAGTATAGTTGTATTGTAATTTAATATTTCTCTAAATCATGAATGTGGACAGTAGTGTTACTTTAAATGTTGGAAGGCTGAACTATAATTATTCATATGAAATGTAAGTCTTCTTGGCAAAGTCGTAATGGTAAAAGAAATATGTATATTTACATTTTTGTCAAAGATACAAGGATTTTGTCTATCAATATAAGCCTATTTTATCTATAATTCTGTCTATCTACCTCGATCGATCTCAGTCAGTTTATATATATATCTATAATTTTGTTTTCCTACCTACCTATCAATCTCAGTATCTTCATATCTATCTATCTATCTATCTATCTATCTATCTACGCAAATAACTTATATCTACTTATTGATCTATCTCAGTCTGTTCATATCTATCTATAATTCTGTCTACGTATCTATCGACCTCAGTCTGTTTCTATCTATCTATCTAGGTCTTTCCATATCTATCTATCTATTTATCTAGGCAAATACCTTACTGATATCTATCTAATGATCTATCTCAGTCTCTTCATATCTATCTAAAATTCTTTCTACGTATCTATCGACCATAGTCTGTTTCTATCTATCTATCTATCTATCTATCTATCTATCTATCTATCTATCTATCTAGGTCTTTTCATATCTATCTATCTATCTATCAATCTATCCGGTCCGACCCGATTTTAATGAAAGCGTAAAGAGAAATAACCTCAAAGCCCTCTTTTCGTGTTTTTATATTAAGACCGGTAAGGGATTGTATCATCGGAGAGGGACAGGTTTCGCCAGATTTTCCTTACCTAAGATGCACTCAGCATTAATAAATACCTCTCCGGTTTTCAACCCAGATATATTCAGTGAACTGATTAGATGCTCAGTTTCGCAGTGGCCCCCACCACCACACTCGGTCATCGGACAGACGATGACGACGATGGTCATCATCATAATCATCATCGTCGTGTGCGTAAAAACATGCACCCAAGTCGGCACGTGTCGCGAATCTCGTGGTCCACTGCGTACATGTCACGTGCTGATGTAGCTCGGATCACGAATATTTAAAGCGGCGTATAACACCGCCATTTCGTCGAAAAAGATAGAACGTTTTGAGAAGCACTTGAACTTTCTTTGTCTCCTCAGCCAACATCTGAAATGATGTTCGGGTCCACCAGCTACGGAAGTCGTGTTTTCTGTTTCTTTTCCTAATCATTAGACAATAACACTGGTCACTGCAGACATCAGGGTGTAACCATCAAAGCTAGTCTTATTACACTTTATTGTTATTTATCTATAATCCTATGTTACTGTACGTTTCTTTTCGAGTTGCCATATCTCATGTCGCTAACCCAGTGGCCCTGTTCGGACGTCTGCCTTCAACCGGTCGGCTTATTCCGTTTCTCAGGCACCAGATATTATCGCTTCCTGTTGTTATCTACAAAGGGAAAAAGGAAATAATATAGAATTCGCTAGGCCCTCCCCTTATTTCTTTAAAAAAAAGAAAGAAAATATTCTATTTAATCAACTCTTTCTTTTGAATTTCGTTTTCTTTCTTTTTTTATTGGATTACTTTTTATTTCGCTTCCTCGTTCTCTAGTACGCCAAACTGTGGCTGTGTTACTGAAAAGCAATTGACCACCGTCCATTGCACTATCAGTCTTTCTTGCTCCATTAAGCAGATAAAGATAGGCAAGTGCGATAGATTACTGTGTCCGGTTTCTTTCTGACAGTAATTACACAATCATTAATGTCCACTCAGGACAAGCTTCAGTTGGCCTTCACCTGTAAACGGAACGGTCAATACCGCTGTCCGATTCAACCTGGCCGTATCTATGTCCGGGCTAGCGTGTTTCAGGACTTTCTTGGCCAGTCCACTGTCATAAGCACTTACCATGCATTTGATACAAGGCTGATAATGATAATCGTCCGACGATTGTTAAGTCTACGGATGATTCAGAATGATGAGGATGTTGATAAAGTTGTGACGCAAATTATTGGATTCCTCTTTTCCGTAGTATTGTTAATTTAATTAAGATAATTACAGTCTAGTGTAATCCTAAATTTATAAGAAAACAAACATTATAGGTCAAAGTTTTCGGGGTCATCCCCTGAATTTAATAATTAGTAATTTCCATGCCTTCTTTCGTTTAACTAATTCCTAGTAAGCTAGGATATAACCCATTAGTCGATGGAGGCCAATTTTTTAGAGCGTGGAGTTAACTATAATTTATGATCCGCCATTTTCTTAATAATAATGTCATCTAAAAGGATGAAATTCATACAGAATTTTAAAAGTTAAATCTTTTCAAATTCTGTATTATTTTCATCCATAATTTAATAAATTTTTCTACTTAAAATTTTAAAAGATGAAAACAAATCTTGTAAAAATTAATTATTCATCGAAAAAAAGTAAAAAAAAATGAAAACGAATCTTGTAAAAATTCATTATCCATCGAAATTTTTTTTTAAATTGTGAAAACAATTCTTTTAAAAATTCATTATTAATCGAATTGTTTTTCTTTCGGCAATAATGCCCTTAATATATCTTATTTATAAAAGCAATTAAAAGTTTTCTAATTAAATAATGTCATAGTTTAATTACATTTTTATTTTACGATTCAGAGCAGATTGCAGGTAAAAGAAGTTTCTGATTGACAAAAACAAACTGATGATTTAAATTCTTTAAGGAATCCTGTTTTTAACAAATTTCTAAAAAAAATTAATATCAACATTAGCCAACAAAGTAAAAAAATGATTTATAGAAACTTTATGTAGTAAGGTGTTAATGTCATTATTATTATTATTATTGAATATACGATAAAATCTTTTAGGAAGTGAAAGTCTTGAAGCGAACTAGTAAATAACTTTTGGAAAAATAAAAGTTCCTCAACCTTCAAATTTTAGGCAATTCATACTTTTCCGGCGACTGATCCCAAAAACTACCTACAATCAGTTGTTAACCGGACCAAGGAGGGTTTGTTAGCTTTAATGCCTCCAAAACAAAACTGCTATTAATCATCTGAGAGTACTCTTTCTGCTTTCCATAAGTATGGCTGATGCTAACCTCCAGGAGAGTGAATTGTTCCCCTTTCCGGGCTAATATTCACGGCTGACTCGAAGTGGAAAGGCTATACTGAATCCATTGCTAGGTCGGCAGCCACGAAAATTGGTCTACTGTATCGTGCTAGATATTTTTCTCTCTAAAATTTATCGTACATATCTATAAGTATACCATTCGCTCATACTTAGAATATTGCTGCCGCGTATGGTCCGGAAGTTCTGCTATATATTTAGAGATTCTTGATAAAAATACCAAAAGAATCTGAAATATTATTGGTCCTGACATGTCGTCTCGGCAGCTCTGTGCCTTTTCTATAAATACTTTAATGGTAATTGTTCTGATGAGCTCTTAACTATGGTATTTACACTTTATGAATTTAAGCGCGTTAATAGGTCTTATCAATTTCCACTTGAGTTGGTTAGATGTAACCTTAACTTCTATGCTGGAGAGAAACATTGAAGTTATTAATTAGAACAGTTGCAATTAATGCATGCACGGTTTCACAGCTCTAGCATCATTCCTTCATAGTCAGCCTATGAACTTTTCAGTCCACCTTCGTACCTGGGAAGAAACAATGCAGTTATTAATAAGAACTGAAATGAATGCATGCAAGATTTTACAGATCTAGCATCATTCCTTCATAGTCAGCCTATTAACGTTTCACCCCACCCATCGTATCTGGAAAGGAAAAAAATGAAATTATAATTAATAAGAATTGAAATTAATGCATAAAAGATTTCATAGCTTGTGTATCCTTCCTTCATATTGAGCCTAGGAACATTTCACCTTCGTATAGGAGCATTAAATTATAGGATCTTTTTAGCCGCCTCTCGTAGAGTAGCATTAAATTCTACCATCTTTTCTGCAAACTCTCGTAGAGGGGCATTAAATTTTATGACCGAGGTAGCAGAAACGCAAGGCACGCCCTCTATCCAATATTAACAAAGATTCCTTCAATAATATTTCACTTTAGCTTTATAACATAACTACATTATTTTGCCTTAATTCCGAAATCTGCATTTTCTATCTTTTTATGTGATATGTCTTTTCAGGACGTAGGCGATCATGGCTCACCACGCCTTTCTCTATCCCTTGCAGCTCTCAACAAGTTCCTTCTCTCTGCCATCTCCCCCAGCCCACGTTCTGTCATCCACTTGCTTAAGCCCACCAGGTATGTCATGCATTGTTTACCCTTGTCTCTCTTACCCTCTATTCGACAAGTGAGTATTAGATTTTCCAGGCCTTCTTCCCTAATTACGCGTCCAAGAAACTTCAGCTGCCTCTTCCTGATGATAAGTATAAGCCTTCTCCTTGTTTGTGACCTCTCTAAGATCTCACCGTTGTTCACACACTCGGTCCATGATATACTTAGCACCCTTCTGTAGAATTACATCTTTGTCTCCTCGGGTCTCTTCTTCATTTTTGTGGAGACCTTTCTACATTCGCTGCCGTAAAGGAGAACAGAGGTCACGTAAAAGCTCACTATTCTTTCTTTGTTACCAAAAAAAATCCTCCTGTCTCTCAATACACTGCCAAGCTTTTGGAATGTGTCCTTGGCCATCCCACTACGTCTACGGATCTCAGTGTCGCACTTACCGCCCTCTGTCAAGACGCTTCCTAGATATTTAAATCTCCATGTGTTTGTTAATAAAAGTCGTCACTATTTTTTATTAATGTACAGTCCCTAGAAAATGTGTCAAGTGACAAAAAACAAATATATATATCTCAAGCGTTGATAGGTTAAGGGGTGTAGATAGGTTCACCCATATCCCGGTTCACAGTAGAGATTTATCCCTTGTTTCCTGTTTAGTGTTGGGTTTCCGGTTTCTTCTAAAGTCTACTTCAACTCTAAACTTCTAACGTCTCCCCACTAAACTCTGAAATGTTATTTATTTATTTTCTTCCTTCAGTAGGTGTAGATAGGTTTTTTGAATAGGAGTAGAGGTTTATCCCTTGTTTCCTGTTTAGGATTGGGTTTCCGGTTCCTTCTAAAGTCTACTTCAACTCTATACTTCTAACGTCTCCGCCTAAACTCTGAAATGTTATTTATTTTCCTTCAGTAGGAAGTAGATAGGTTTTTGAATAGGAGATAGGTTTTCCTTTTTTTCCTGTTTAGGATTTGGGTTTTCGGTTCCTTCTAAAAGTCTACTTCAACTCTATTCTTCTAACGTCTCTACCTAAACTCTGAAATTTATTTATTTTCTTCCTTCAGTAGGAGTAGATGGGTTTTTGAATAGGAGTCCTTGTTTCCTGTTTAGGATTTGGGTTTCCGGTTCCTTCTAAAGTCTACTTCAACTCTATTCTTCTAACGTCTCTACCTAAACTCTGAAATGTTATTTATTTTCTTCCTTCAGTAGGAGTAGATAAGTTTTTTGAATAGGAGTAGAGGTTTATCCCTTGTTTCCTGTTTAGGATTGGGTTTCCGGTTCCTTCTAAAGTCTACTTCAACTCTATACTTCTAACGTCTCCGCCTAAACTCTGAAATGTTATTTATTTATTTTCTTCCTTCAGTAGGAGTAGATAGGTTTTTTGAATAGGAGTAGAGGTTTATCCCTTGTTTCCTGTTTAGGATTGGGTTTCTGGTTCCTTCTAAAGTCTACTTCGACTCCTAACTTCTA